ACATAGGACAATAATGTAAAATTTAATTTGTATTTTAAACTCAGTAAATAAAAAATACAAAAGCTGAGACTTAATAAAATATTTGGAAAATGGCAACGTATCTTTCAACCTTACACTACCTAGTTCTGTAGGAAATTATTCCTTCACAATTGTAGCTAAGTATATCCAGAATAGTCACAGTGTGTGTATTATAACAGCTATTCTAAAAATCAATTTATCCTCATAGATGAAACAAGCAGGATATTTGTAAATAAACAAAGGTTCAGAATATTTTTCTGTGTCACATGCTAAAAAAGAGTTCAATATAAGTTTAACACTATTTAAGCCCTTTCAAGACAAAGCTGTAATTATTAATGTATGCCCTATTAACTATGGAATTTCCTAAAATCAGTAATATAAGAGAGAACTGAGGAAATTATCTGAAACAAAATATGAACTTCAAATATTAAATGGTGTTCAAGATATTAGCTAGATTCTTTAGATCTTAAAGTTTATATCAAGAGTGAGGCATGTATTTCTGTGTGCAAGAATTTATACCTGCTATATGTATTCCCTGAATTATTTTTAAATAATTGTAATTTTCCATTATATTAGTGGCACTAGCCTATGAATAAAACAAATAATTTTCAGAAATGGGCTTCAAAAAGTCACTAAGAGAAGCCACTGAACCTAGCATGAATGTGAAAGCATTTGCAACCCAGCCCACCATGTGCTTGGGATTGCAGTTACAACCACATCTAAATCAGGAAGATGTCACTGAACATTGACAAGAAGTTTTTCTATCTGGACTGGGAAAATACTTGGTCTTTTTCTTATGAACCCAAATGTGATCCCTGCAAAGGAGGCATTTGCAAAAGAGATGGGATTTCAATGGATGCTGCCCAGGTGGAGGAACTTGTACATGTAGCCCTGGCTTATAGTAGTGAAAGTCTAATACAGAGCACCAAATTTAGAGCCCAGAGAATCTAAAGATGGATTAAAAAAAATTATGAGACCTCTGGATATCATCTATGGGCATAATAACCATTCAGGCTACAGCAATTTAGGCATTTGAGACTGTTGAAAAAACCATACTATTTGTCTAGAATTAAGAACTAAGGGAAGAAAAAAGTCTCAAGTGAAGATAACCTGCACCTATTTATGATAAGACCAAACTCTTCCAGGAGTAGGCTGGCAGTTAAATAGCAGAAAAATTCTGATTATACAAATAATAAGGATACAAAGGCAAAATTCTAGGTTCCTAAGAAGTGGCATTAGCGCATCACTTTGTATAATGGTGTGGCTAAAGTAAAAATAAAGGTTTTTTTTTTTAAAAAAAAATCTATTTAAGGAAAAAACTGTACTCATGTGAGGACTTCAAATTTTAATTCTTTTTTTTTATTTAGATTGATGGACATAAGCTGGCTGTCAATTTATTTCATAAAAATAACTAAGCTATAATTCACCAAATTTTGTAGGTGGCCATATTTAAAACAAAATACAAAAAAATAAAACAAATTTCCAAGTTACTGATAAATGCTTTGAAAATAATTGGAGAAAGATAATCACAATAGCTAAAGCTTAGAACTATCCTTAAAAATAAATATCAGTGCTTAGAACTATCCTTAAAAATAAATATCAGTGCTTAGAACTATCCTTAAAAATAAATATCAGTGCTATAATAGGAAAATGTCAAAACTTTACTGTAATAGACCACTGAAACAAATACAAGTTGTATCAAGCTCATAAATAAGAATACTGAAAGATATCCATAACCCTAAATGAAATGAATATAATTCAAATTTAAAACACCAACAATTGTGCTTTTTACTGACAATATGATCTAGCAATTTATTTAGAAATGTATATATTATATATATTAAATATTTGATACATATTATATACATAATTAAAGGATAGAAGTATTAAAACAAAAGAAGTAAAATGAAAAACTGAAAGAATTAGGATGGAACTTGTTCTGTGGATGTTTAAAAATATTATAAAACCACAATAATTAAAATTATGACCCAACAAGCAATGAACATTGACTGTTGTCCATATGACAATTTAGTAAAAAATACAATAATATCAAGATCAGTGAATAAAGAAAATTATTCAATATGGAGCTGGAATAATTCAGTTATCATTTAGAAAAATATGAAGTTAGACCTAACTTCTTAACAAGAATCAAAAAAACTAAAGATAAGGTGGCTAAAGGAATATAAAAAGAAACTTTTTAAAAATAAATACAGGTAAATGCCGCTAACAAATTTTTTTTTATAGTCTGAATTTTATTGATTATATCCATTATTACTGGCAAAGAGTAAATCCTTTGCCTCTAACAAAATTTAAGATAAAAAAATTACCGCAAATCTGACAAAAGTTTTGCATAAACTATAACTCATACACACCAATGAACAAAAGAGTAAACTCAAAAACCAGTACTTGATGATGTAAAGCCACTCACCAAACAGAAAGAGCTAATAAATGTATTCAAACTCAGCCACACTAAGAAAAGTAGGAAATTAAAGAAAGGAAATTTTAAATGAGAAAAAAAACCTTCCACGTAAGCATTTCTTGAAGTCATAGAAGCTGACGGCTGTCATTGCTGGCTGCTAGGCTGCAGACAGGCCACCGTAACTCAAGCGCTTGAAGATACATGTATTGGTAAAAATGCTCTAAAATGCAACACAGCAGGAACTATTGGGAACTTTACAAAATCAATGTTCCAGTAATAAAACTATGAAAAAAAAGTAAATGCGAGAAAAATTAATATGGAAAGATGTTCTTCAAGCATTACTGATACTGGGAAAAAAAGGGGGGGAGGAGGAGTGTGGGAGAAATGGCACATTAGAGCAATGTGTAAGAGTGGCATACGACCTATCAAATAGTACCTCAGAATTATAGTTAATTACTATTAATTAAGAGTAATTAATTACTCTTAAGTAATAAATAATTACTATTCTGTTGGCCTATGACCATAAACCTAAAAAAAAAAAAAAACAGTTTGATACCAGTTTGTTGAAAAGAAGAAAGAAGTAGAATATTCTATAAGAAGAAAGAGAAAGGGAGGGAAGGAGCAAAGAAAGAGGGAGGAGACAAAACAACAGTACGACCAAAAGATGTCTAGGTAGGGAACAGCCAAATATTCCTAGTAATTATCTCTGTGCAGTGATATGTTTCACTGATTTTATTTCCTCCTATGTCCTTCCACACTTTTTGCAAATTCTCCACTATGACCATATATTATTTTTATAACCAAAAATAAATAAATAAAAGATATTATTAAGGACAGAAAATCCATCTTGCTGCATCCATATCACTATCAGTCTAATAAGAGGTGGATCACTTATTTGGACAAGGGAATTAAAATAATGAAAACCTGGCCATATTTCAGGGTGCCTAAACAATGGGGTAGTTTAATTAACTGGGTGAGAAGGTAGTCACCTAGAGGAATTATGGGTTGGTGTTGGATGTGTGGTGGTTAACATACACCTAGAAGTGTAATCCCAGTATCGCTAAATCATATGTAATGTTGTAACCAATGTCATTTAACTAAAAAATTAAAAATTAAAAAATCAAATAACTAAAAAGTTTGTTTTTGTCTCCTAGAGACCTATCACTGGAGTGAAACGAAGGCAGAGTTCAATTCCCATGTCATCGACATTTCTGGAAACTGACTAAAAGTTAACAAAACTCTTTCTTGAGGTCTACATAGTCTGACAAGGATGTTAAGCTCCTGTCATGGGTCCTGGGAAATCTTTGCTGCTGCAGAGAAAAATCCCTCACCATTTGTCCTACACACTCCCAAAATGTAACATATTTAGGTTTTCTTTCTGTACTTACCTAACCAATGTGGGATTAATTTGTACCTTTTTTAAACCATCTAAAAAAAAACACTCATTTTTCCCAGGATCAATTTTCAAGCTTAATGATACTCCAGTTTTATTTGTCTTTCTTCACCTCTTCAATGTCTTGAGTCTATTTATTAACACTTCCATCCAAATGTTAGGAAAATCTGGATAATCTTTAATGCTCTGCTAAAAATCATATTTGGAAAAAGAAGTTAATAAAGATTCCCCAATAGGGCTTGAGGAATTCTGTCTGCAAGAATAAAATCTGCCTTAAAGAATGGCAATGAAGACTAAATCGAATAAAGGTACCCAAGAATCTTGTGTATCGTGCTTCAATATATCCTAAATTGATTTCTTTACCCATGCTATTCCTTTTTCCCATGAAGGGAATTAATTACTAATAGGAGGTAATTTAGAATTTATGATAACATTTCTGCCAAATGCCAAATCTTGGTCACCTTTATATGATGTTCTTCCACTTAAATTGGCAAAAACAAAACAAAACAAAAACCTCTCCTTTAATAAATTATATATATATTACACTACTTTGCATAATCCTGTCATAAGGATTTTAAAAAATGAGAGGTAGTATCTGGAGAATTTTCACATATTTTTACTAGTTACTTTTTTTTTTTTTGTACCATTATCCTATTATCTTAACTTGTACTATCTGCTATAAGGAGGCTATATTTTAGTTTGTCTTCAGCCAAACAGCCAAAGGACATGTTTTTAACTCTTACAAAACCCACGAGAATAAGAATAAGCTTGTATATTTAAAGACTAAACCTATTTTAATTTGTCACTTAAATGTAACATCCATGGAGTTATTGCTACTTTACAAATGCTAGTCCTATGGGCAAAGATAAGTCTGTGTTTGAGGATCTAAGATTATAATTGTGGTTGATATTTGATTTTCTGTCGCCTTAGAATTGAAGGAGGAAGCAATATCAGAGTTGGTGAGATTTCCTTGAGTTCTTAATTTTTTCATTTCACATTCAAAAGAAATGGCAGTGGCCGCTGCACGGGTCATTTCCTTTGCCAGAACATAAATGGGAAGAGATTCACAAATATTTTTGAAACCTCCCCAATATGGCACACTATGACTTGTGTTCAAATGGATCCTCATGCTTTGATATGTTACAGCGGGAACTTTCAGAAATGACTTACTGGATTGTACATCTGATTGAACAACTGCTCAGCTTGCTACATTGCAAAGTTGGGAAGGCATTGAAGCACAGACAGGGAAAGAGGAAAGATCCAGAAAAACAGCATTAGCTCAACAAATCCAGTGCATTTGCACAGACAAACTGGTTATTAAAAAAGAAGAAATTTCAGTTTCTAAACATTCCACAGTGAAAGTGAGAGACTCTAGGGAAATAGAAATGTTGACTTTGGCTCCTAAAAAAGAATAGCTGGAATAAGAAATTTAAGGTTTGTGTTACTTTCCCTTTCTCAAGTTAAATAACCCATGAAATAAAGAAAGCTGTCCACTTTTGATGATACATGAAGTGCTGGCCTCTAGCAATGAATCAGAAGTAGTACTTTTGGCCAAGTCTGCAATTTATTACCTGAACTTCAAAGACGGTAATAATAAAAGATTAATTAAACCTTATCATTGAATTTATAGCTTGTCTGAATTTTTTATTCAGCCTAACTTTAGAAAAATATAGATCAGCAAACTGCAGGTTAGCAATAGCAAAATATCAGTAAACAAGACATTATTAGACTAGCAGTAAATGAAAGAAAGAATCAATTTAGTCATCAGGAAGAATAAAGGGACCTAAAATATAGTAGTATCTACTGCTACCAGCTTCTACTCTTAGTTCATAATTATTAAAAATATAATATTTAATGATTACTATGTTTCAAGTAAATTTAAGAATCTGTAATAGTCTTGTGTTTAATTTGCATAGCTTTAAATGTGTGTAGATTTAAATGCACTAAATATTTTAAATAGGACTCTCAAGCTATATCTTAAATACTTGCATCATTAAGTAAGTATGATTAACTAAGTATGATTAACTAAGTATACCTAAGCTATAGAAGTTAAAGTATTATAGGAACTTTTAAGTTACTTTAAGTAAAGACATAGCCTTCACATGAACTCATTTGCTATTTTCTCAGCTTTGATAAAGGCAATGACAATTTTACTATGGTTTGAAAATAAAAACCATCTTCAAAGATGGTATCAATTGGAAAATTACCAATAGTACAAATCTCAACATTTGAATTTCTACTGTTCCTCAAGTGATTACTAATCATAGAAGATGAATTTACTTCTATAGATTGAACACCAAATATGCTTTTGAAAGGTAAAATGACTCACACATGACTAGTCAGATTCTTCTCAACCCATAGATGTCTAGTTAAAATTAATGTGCACTCACATTATAAAATACACTCACAACTAGAAGTTATGCATTATTTGGATAGTGTCATTTGCCAGCCTCACTAATATCAGTAAAGATTTTGTCTCACATGACTATTTGACTGCATTGTTTTTAAAAGATGGAATAAAATGTGTAAGGCATAGTTCGCTTTGTGCCAGTAACCATTTTCTTATCACAAAGTATTTGGAAATGTTCAATTAGCAGAGGAAAGTGTTAAAAATAACTATGTGTATGAATGTTCTCCATAAACTTTTATGTAGAAATTCACATTGCCAATTTCAAGCATTGTTTGTAAGACAAAAACAAATTTAAATCACCATTTGGATTCCATTGTCACAGACAAGATTTCTGCTCAGTAAAACACACCTACAATGTTGTGTATTTTATGGCAAAAATACCTGGACTCTTGCAAATCTTGAGCAAAATTCCATTGGGAATTCAGGGTTTATTTATGACATAATAAAACTATTATGTTTTCAGCTTTCATTTAGTAACCCTTTATATTTTATTCACAACTCACATACCCTTTTATTTAAAAGGCGGCCCAGACACTCCTTAAGCTTTTATAGCTGCTTATTTTTCCATGAGTAAATGATGTGTTTATATGTATATTCATATACTGTTGGCTTATATTTTCAAATATTTCATGTAGATCTCAATTCTTTTTAAGGTGATGGGTACTTGGGGTTTTTATGGAACTATTTATTAGAAGAAATTAAAGACTACTGGAAAAAGTATTTTAAATGTTTGAACTTAGTTGATGTTACATAGCCAAAAATAACAAAATAGCATCTGCAGGTTAGGTATAAAAATATTTAAATTATAATTACCTTATTTAATCACACTGTACTATGCATTTAGGAGATAGTATAAGCAAAAATTATTTGTATGCTTTGAAATAAATTATCTTTTTATAAACTAAATAGGTCCTTTACAGCAACACGGCCAGACTTGTTACTTTAATCCTGGAGATGTGGCAGAATGTTAAAATGTTAGAAAGAATACTAAAATATTTATGGGGGTTGGTCTGTGAATTTTAGTACATGTCTACCTGAGAGTCTAAGAAAACCTAATGCTCCAAGTGGCTTCTTGGGTGAGCCATAGCTATGTTGAAAGAAACTAAATTGAACTGCATAAATGTTGATTTACTAAGCTAATCTAGACATGTACCTAGAAATGACAGCAGAAATACATGAATCTCTTCTTTTTAATTACTAGAGGATTCCAGTTCTATAGATGATTCTTATGAAAAAGTAGAAATAATATAGAGGGTGCCCTCATCTTCATAATGGCACCTCAGAGTTGCTGAAGGGCAATTTTCATGCCCTGGTCTATTTGAGATCCTTCCTCTTTGGGACTCAGCATACTGTAACTGAAGTAAGGTAATCCAAAAGACAATCATAGGGGAGCCAGTGAGATTCTCTTGTTCATAGAGCTATCTTAGAGATTGCCTTATGAATACAAAACTACTTATTCATAAAAAGAACTCTTCATAAGTCCATTTCTTGATAGGTCTGTGTATGTATGCTATGCTACAGAACACATTCATAAATATGTCAAGAACAATTACCACATACCCAGTACATAAATAGCCAAATCAATCTCCACTTAAACACTCTAACATGGGCAACTGAAGTTCTTTTACCCAATATTTAAAGTTTCTTCTTAACTAAATATTGTTAAGTGAGATGGTGAGTGAACATGCAATAAGATTTTGAAATATAGAAGTTTTCTGGCTGTTTTGTTGTAAAGGAATTTGATCTATTTATCTTTTTCCAGATTTTATGGAGACTTCATCAGTGTAAAACTTCTCAGGATAATTTCCTGTAATTCTGTGCAAAAGTGAACACAGAATATTCACATTTCTGTTATACATTGCATCATACAAAACAGTATGTTAAATTTTTAAATATCTAGAAAAACAGATATTACATGCTTTCATATCTCTATCATTTATGTCATATATCTTCATAACTTTTGCAAATAAATCCCCATTTCAGTGTGCTATGAGTTACACATTGTCAAATTTTATAACATGATTTACTTGATTGTTTAGATTCTTACCAATTTTGAGTAAGTTTATAAGTTGTCAAAGGGAAACAAAATGCTTAAACTCATAACGCTATGAGTTTTATGTGAACAATGAGTGCAGACGTACCAAACAACACAGGGAAAAAGTCAAAGGAACAATGCATGACTGGAAATGTACTCCACAAAAATGTCTAGTTCAGAGAAAACACAGTAATGTTGCATATTTATGATGCTGCTTTCTTTTCTAAACTCTTCTACATACAACATGCTTTCTTATCAGCTAAGGCTATTTTAGTCAAGTTTAAATAGTCATCCCCACGGATATTCTAAGGACCTGGCTATCTTGGTAAACATATAAAATGTAATATTGTTAGGTAAAGTTTTACAAAATCCCAATACAAAATTTGACCTACTTATGAAAGAAATAAAAGTTTATCAAACACATAAGAGAGCCCCTATAGAGCCTTTAATCTGTTGTAAACATTTCCATTTATCTTTTTTGAATACTGAGATTTGCCCAGAGTAACAGTTTTTAAAATATTTTTCACTTTCACTACTATTTTCATGTTTTTTTCAGACAGGAAACTTAAGATAATTTTTCAGGTTCACAGACAGATTTGATGCATACTTTTTAGGAATAAAGTTAAGAGTGTGTTTAATTAATTCGTTTATCAACAGACAGCAAAAGATAAAGGACTTTGTTTCTTCTGAAAAATGCCTCCTCCTTTCCTATTGTATAAATTCATTTTAAAATAAGCTGATTTTTCTTAGACTTCACTTACCTTTTTTAACTGTGCTTCCAATTTGCTACATTCTTCTTTTTTTTGTTCAATGGCTATTTCTAGAGATTTTAATTTGGAATCCCTCTTCAGTCCTGCTGAAGCTAATGAAGACGCATGTTCTTTGAGGTCAATTAAACTAGACTGGAAGGAAAAGAACACTAGTAAGTTAAACACTTGTAATTGCTACTAGCAATGTCTTTAATTTGAATCACTGATTCCACACATAGCAATAAAGTATGCACCAGACAGGAAGGGTAAATATAGTCTTACTAAGGTAACAATAGTCTGCTCTGGCCAGGAAATTAAAGTTGGCTAACTTACAGAGCCAAGCAGTGTCTAATTGCAGTAGAATCAAATGTGACCAAATGGTGTGGTCAGTAAATGCATGTTTCATGTCTCTAAGTCATGCTAATGATGTAAGTCCCAAGGTGGTCTTTACATGTCATAGCAAAACAGACACCCTCAACCTTCCATTTACCTTTATTGCTGTCAGGACCTGCAAATGCTAAGACAAATATAAAAGAAAATACCTACTTTAATACTCAAGCCTCAGCCTCACAAATTGGCAAATCGAATATAAAAGAAGAATCTTACTAAGGTTTATCAAATCCATTGTTGAACAGAACAATGAACAATGGCTTTTTAAATATCGATAGAATCAATATTATTTAAAATTTTAGAATATATTTTATGTTCCAATCTTTTGTAAACCCAAATTTGTCAGTTATGATGAACTTCCCAATTCCGATACAGGGTTACCTAAATTATTCCCCATCATGCCCAAAAACCAAGAGGAGATTCCCTGTATAATCTAAATTCTAAAGCATAAAGAAATCTATATGCTTATATCGTGGAACTCACTATTGCTAGCTAGAAGGCCAATATCCATTGCCAGATATGAAATTGTTAGAAACATCTAACTGGAACAAAATGTTCAGATTTTACCCAAATTTGGGCATTGTATGTTTCCTTTATATCCATTTCATCCCTGTGCATACAATGGCAGTTCAGTAACTGATACTGCCGAATACCTTATATCTCTGCTGCTTTACAGGTCCTGAGATAACCTTGTTACAGAACGCTAGCAGTGAGAGAAATGCTCCAAGGCACCCTCTTAGGGACATATTAGTTATTCTCATTTTTCAGGTCAAGACTGACACGTAAGTTCTTCTCCAAAGAGAGATTACAGGTCACAAACCAGGTGCCTAGCTCCCATTTCAACATGTACCATTTTCACAGAAACAGTAAAGGACCTTATGATAAAGTCATGATGAAGATTATCAAAACATCAACTAAGTTATAGGGTCCTTGAGGTAGCTCATTAGCTTTATATGTCCATTTGTCTGGGCTATATAATCCTCACTTATTCAGTCAAATCCAAATCTAGATGATGCTCTAAAGATATAGATGTGACTAATATCTACAATTAGTTGACTTTAATTGTCATCTGGGTGGGCCTGATCTTACCGGTTGACAGATCTTAAAAACAAAATTGACATTTCACTGAGGAGAAGAAATCCTACCTGTGGACCACAGCATCAACTCTGTCTGAGAATTTCCAGTCTGTCCTTCTTGATGGCCTGTCCTGTTTCGAATTTGCCTGGCCAGCCCTTATAACAATTCCTTGTAATAAACTTCTTAATATGGTTAAATTTCCTAATATAGTTTTGTTTTTCGAGTGGAAGTTTGACCAACACACCCAGACCAATGGCAGGCACATTATTATCCAGGAACAATTGCTTGCTAAAATGTCTCTTTAAAATTCACACAATGCAGGCATTGTGGGCAAAGTTATTCTCATATAAAGCTTATGGACCACAATGTCATCAAGATCTCTTTCCAATTACATTTATCTACATCAGTTTTAAAGCACAAACCCACAAATAGCATGAGCAGCCAGTGACAGATACAGCAGAAAAGATCAAAGTTTCTGTGCCTTTTGTCACATACCAACTACAGGAATCACAGACCTCACAGGGTGGATTTGGCAGTGAAATAGTAGGAAGAAGTATTTTCTGATCAGAGAAATAATATCTTCTCTAAAAAAAATTATGAAATTACATTTTAGCAATAAGAAGTTTCCTGAAAACTTCTATTACTCACCAATGGCTTCCCTTTGGGAGGAAAGAATTTAATTTACATAGAATTGTCAAAATCCAAGGGCAGGAATAATACTGTGGGACTGGGAAATGGACAACTGAGCAGTGATAAAGAATAACTGGGCGGACTGGTATGTAATAGCTCTGAAGAGGTGAATGTTTACTATGAAGAAAATACATGAAAGGAACCACATATTCTTGCACTGAGGAGATGGAATAAAATAAGGTTACTACATTACTACATCTTAAACTTCTCCAACAGTCTAAAGCATTCTCTCACTATCCCAAGCAGTAAATTTCTTTTTAAGTATATTATTTGACTTTAAAAATATAGATAAAAGTTGTATTTTGTATCATTTGCTATAGTGTAAAACTGTTGTTTTAATTATTTAGCATAACGTCAAAATGATATTTCATAAGAGCAGTCAGACTTAGCCTAAGCCATTGCATCCAGCCTGACACTCCTAACCTGCTAATATTAAGTGATCTCTTTGAGAAGCCTGGCAAGAACAACGCACTCAACAGAAAAATTGGCTTTCAGTAGAGTCAAATGATTATTATTATTGTCACTGCTGTTTACTGTTATCTCAAGCAACAAATCATGAAACATTAAAAAAAATGGGATCTTCTAAGTCATACAAATGTGGTAAAACCTCAAGAAAAGTTTCAAGGAGTTGCACTATATGCAGTTAGTAGAGTAGAGTTGATAACCAAAATCAATGAGGAGGGTCACATGCTATTTTATTTTGATTCAAACAGCTTTACAAAGAAAAGGGAACCATTTTCCCAAGCCTTCCTACAGTCCCTCAAAGTGAGTCTTGAGTTTCACAAGGCCATGATATATATGTATTGAATGAGACTACCAAGGTCATTCACTTGTTTTTCTTGACTCACCTCTTTTTCAGTGAGTTCAGCTTGTAAAGCATTGACCTTCTCTTTCAGGTCTTTGTTCTCTTTTCGGAAGGACTCTATCTCTTCTAGTCTTTCTCGGTCATCTCTCTCCCGCTGTTCTTTTAAACGTTCAATTATTCTCTCCTATGAGACACAATTGTCAAAAAAGAACTGTCAGGAAAATACCCATCAGTGTACATACCAACACACCCTACAGAAGAAAATCAGAAGCAATAAATGAAAGAAATGATCCAAAGAAACCAATAGGAACGAGGTATACAAAATTGGGTTATAAGGAGAAGCAGTATATAACAACATTTAACAAAGACTATCAATATAGCTTTTAGCTTATTAATAAAAGTAAGAATAAAATAACAATGAACAACTATATACCAGAGACATTTTATGGGAAAATGGGATAAAAAATGGGGGGTGGGGGGGTGAAGGGAGGGGTACATGGGTGAATTGGTGATGGGAAGTCCATGAGGTTTACAACTGTGATGGAAAAAGAACAAAATAATGTAAAAATAAACTATTATAATATAAGTTAGGGTAGCAAGGGAGCTTAATGTCCATTTGCTGAGGCCTCTCATAGTGATACCTAGAAGACTCAAACAGCAGTTCCAATACAGGGAGGTTTAGACACCAAGAAGGCAGTTTTGCCAGAGCCTTGGCAAGGGGAAAAAGCAGAACCAACCACTTTTAAGGCTCTGTGCTTGACTTTCCTAGTCAACACAAAAGAACCTTCCTTGGTTTCTAAAGACTCTTCTCTGGCTAGAAAATGTGGCTCAGAATGTTGCATGACCTAGCCCTCCAGGACTTAGGGTTGAATTCACAATTATAATTTGGAAAAAAAAAAAAAAGGCTCATTGTATAATGGTTTTCCAAGGTATCTGGAAATGTTTATTCACTTTAATATTTTTTCAATGGGAGATATTGAAGACCCTGCAATATTGCTTGAATTTGAGCAACGGTAAAAAAGCAGCTTTCTTCGATTGGGAACTCACTTCATGCTCGGCATTATATAATATACCCTTCTTGTCTAGTCCTCATCACAGCTGTAAAGTCTGGACAAGTGCTACTGCTAACATGGGAGAAATCCAAGTCCAGTTCAAGAAAGCCACATGACTCATTCAGCCCCACCCAGCTCATCAGCAGAAGGTCTACACTGGGACTTAGGTTTCTCTGAATCCCAGCCACACACCTGAGTCCACATTCCTATAGTCATATCCCTGGAGCCCTTCAAAGAGATCTAAGGTCAGGTCTACCCTGGATTTTCACAATGAAATGGTGTGTGGTATGACTCTCTTAAACCAGGGTTGGATAAAGTGCCACCTGGCATACAACAGGCAACTAAAAGGGCTGATGGAGGGAACAAGAACTCAAATTAGGAATAATCATGGCTTCAAAATAAGGGCAATAATATTAAGTACGCATGTTAACATCCAAAAGGTGTCAGAGTCATTTGCAAAGTAGGTTGATTTGCTCTAAACCCTTGTACTATTGCTGGGCATTGATGACAAAAAAAATCAACAAGCACTATAATGTTTTTAAGTGTTACTGATGATTCAATACTACAAAATATTTCTCCGTCAATCACAAAACTAATTTAACTGTCAGCCGCGCAGGGCCAGATGTCAAAAACATGTGCTAAAAGGCCCTAATATGCCATGATCTACTTGATTAACAACTAACTTACAGAAATTCCAACAAAGTGTTCTTGTTTTAGTCTTATTTGCATTGGCAAGTGTTCATTGTACACCCATCTGGCTCTGCAAAGGTCTAATCTATTTGTGCTTTATCACTAAATGGGAACTGAACTGCAATGGTCTATCTGGCTTTCTCAACTGCTTATCTGTTCTGTGGCTACCACAAGACTTGGCGGGACAAGTTTTATAAATACTGTGGGATCTGTCTCTTGGGCTTCTGTGTCAATCCTAGAACCAAGTCATACTTAGTCTTAACTCAATAAGCAGCATTGTTTTTGCATGCTTGGGACATCTGAATAAATTCCTGGAAGTGAAAAGCAATAACACACTTCCTGGGATGTCCTAATGCAAGTGGAATGGTGAGCAGTGCCTAATGGGTCCTTTTCATCAGTCAAAAGATAGCAAATCATTAAATGTTCTCCTGAGCCCACAATTTTGAAATACATATTTTTGCTCATATCTTGTTCCAAAGTATATGCACAACTAGGTTTGGAAAAAAATGTAACTTGTGAGGGAGAGACCATTAAAGGTGATCTAACATTGTCAAAAGCACAAAGATCAGACAGTGAAAGCTATAGTCCTATTCCATCATACCGGCTTTACAACCATGGAATAGTCCAAATGTGGCAACCAATTCCCAAGCAAGGGTCAAGTTAGAATAGAAATGCCTTCCTGGAGTGCTAGGTAAAGAAGCTGGCAAGCACCTTAAAGATTGATGTTGTCTGCCTGGGGGATGGTGCCGATATGTCCAGAGTTCTCATTTCTGGACAAGTTATTTCACCTTACTGGGCCCATTTCCCAGCTTTTATATGTATAACTATAATCAATAAACTTTATTCCTAAAAACAAAATCCTTATAAAATAGATTTGTCTTATTTATCAAATCAGTGGGCGACACAGTCTAATTTTTCTGCTTCTGTTGGGAAAACTTTAAGCATTTTTATAAATTCAATATTTTATAAATTATGAATTTTATTATTAAGTTAATCATGCATTTACATGAAGTTGTAAAAAAATATATACAGAAGATGGCAGCAGAGTAAAGATGCCGAGATCACTGCTTCCAGGCTTGCATAGGAATTGAGGACTGAAAACGGACTACAAACTTACTTACTGTGAGTTTCAACTCAAACGAAAGCACCGTGAACTCACTAGAAGGTAGATAACTGAGGGGGAATCAGCGATTGGGGAGTTCCCTTCTGGGAACTCCCAGAAAGACCCAGGCGCCTGGAAGTTTGGCAGGCTGCAGGAGCCCCTTTGCCCCACGCCAAACCCTGGAGGTGTTGTTACAGGGCACCAAGTCTGTTCCAGAGCAGGGAAAGAGGGGCACTCCTAAAGCCCCAACAACCTGCCTGCTCTAAGTGGGTTTTGCCATCCATCGCGTCAAGACAAAACATACATAACTTTAATGAAAAGGGACTTTAATACAGTAAATATACAATACGGAACACAAAGAATATAACTTCTAAATCAAACACCTGAAGTTACCCATTCCCTCGTGGGCAAAAGTCAACCCAAAAGGGATTGGTCCAAAGCAAGGCCTGAAAGCCCACCACAAGAGTAAAGCACCTTCTGGCCATGGAAAAGGTCAGAAATGGCCAGACAAATCTGGAAGGAAAAGAGCAAAATCGAAATCAATATAAACACAGTAATTTTTTCTTCAGCAAAACTAACGTGTATTTCTTTCTCTCCCCTTGATACCAACACAGTGTAAAGATAGTGGTAGTAATATTTACTACTCAAGTCTATTTTTGCATAACTTCAATAGGAAATTTTGTTCGCTTAACCTGAATGAATTGGAAATGTGCTGGAAATGTGTTTCAGTAGCTTTGTTTGGCATTCTCTAGGAACTTCAAATAGAGCTGAACCAAGAAGACGAGGACCTGTTACTTTGTAGGGTTCCAGAGACCTCCAAAGAAGGTGAGGAAGCTTGCCTCATTGGCAGGCCTGGATGATCCAAAAAAAAAAAAAAAAAAAGTCCTGGTAACCTCAAGAAGAGGAAACTCCAGGTTGAGTCTGCTGAGACCAACGTCGCTCCTGAAGCCTGTGTGGACTGGACATCGATGGTTCGCTCTAATGCTGTAGGGAGGACTCCAGCAAGGCCAGCAACAACAACAAATTGCTACTTGATTATTCTGCCCTGTGATTTATGCAAAAATAGAAAAATGAAAGCTAACATGTATTTGTAAATGACTTGTGCATGCAAGTTGAACAAAGTTGGGATCAAGGTTGAGAGAACCTTTTAAACAACTTTTAAAGTTTTTTTTGTTCTGTTACTGTGGTTATAATATACACCAGAAGGTTTTTTTTCCCCTTTCACATGCACTAATGGACTATTTTCCACTTATTGGACATTCATGGACAATGTTGGTTACCATCTGTACCCTAAAATTTGTGCCACCATAGATATGGTGATAGTAAAAATCAAAAAGGAGGACTGTAACAGGGTGGTCCCTAGGAAAAAGGAAGTTCCAGGTTCCCTGCCTCACCCAGAAGGAGGGTGGAGCTGAGCAGAGAAAAAGGAAAGGAGAGAAGACAAGAAAAAAAGGAAGCTGGATGGAGAACAAGAAGGAGACCTGAGGAAGCCACATAGAGCAGCAAGCATGTGATAAAGAAACCAGGCTTGTTTCCTGACCCTGGACTGGTTAAAGCAGATGTGGGTGAGATACCTGTAGGGTGGTGACTATGGCAGTGTTTATATTGATTTTGATTTTGCTCTTTTCCTCCCAGATTTGTCTGGCTATTTCTGACCCTTTTTCATGGGTCCTGGCTAGAAGGTGCTTTAGTCTAGGCTTTCAGGCCTTGCTTTGGGCCAATCCCTTTTGGGTTTACTTTAGCCCATGAGGGGATGGGTAATTTCAGGTGCTTGATTATATTCTTTGTGTTTCGTATTGTATATTTACTGTATTGAAGTCCCTTTTCATTAAAGTTATGTATGTTTTGTCTTGACACGGTGGATGGCAGAACCCACTTAGAGTGGGCAGGTTTTGGGGCTTCAGGGAAATGATTGGGAGTGCCTAAGCGCCACACAAAGCCGCTGATCAGCTACACCAGCTTGGGAACCGGCAAGATGGCGGCAGAATAAAGACGCTGAGACTACATCCAAACTCACAGGGATTATATAAAAACGGACTATAGACTTAATATGCTACAACTTTCAACCCAAATGAGAACGCCCTGGACTCACTAGAAGGAAAATAACCCAGGGAGAATCAGCGATTGGGGAGTCCCCATAAGGGAAGCCACACAGGCAGGATTAGCTGAACACTGCAACTCTGATCAGGGAATGCCAGTGGCTTCCTACTCGTTTGGCTCCTTTAAAAATCTAGGTGCCCTGATGCCAGGAAGCGCTGCAGAAGGAAACTGTCTGCAGCTGCAGCTGTGGCAGCTCAGCAGCTTTTTGCCCCAGCCCTGCTACAACCCTGGAGATAAAAT